ATATATTTATCAGATGCTTTTCTCTGATAAAACAAGAGCTCCAAGTTCTATAGTACCTGCGCTGCTCCAGGCACCTTTCTCTACAACTCCACTAAGTAAAGCTGTTTCATCTCATTGTACAAAAGAGGGAGCACAACCAATGAAAAGTTCTAAAACTTGTCTAAGATCTAAACACAATTAGCCAAGTGTGGGAAATGGATCTGCAGTCTCCAAGGTTTGATGCTGTCCGCTACACCCTCACTTTTGTTGTTCTCTTTATGTAGAGGCAGCTATTCTTAACAATATTTTTTCATTGCAAAAGTAGACTTACAAGGTTAATTAACTGAACTATACACTAAATCCAAGCTCCTTAAGGAAAATTATTTAATTTATCTATGGCTCAGTTTCATCTGGAAAATGCATATATTACAGATACCTATCTTGTAGAGTCATTGTAAAGATAATGAGTGAGGATTATAAATTAATACATGTAAAACACAACCTTATTTTTCCTATGCTTTGTTGACTCTTTGGCAGGTCTGACACAATGCAAGTTCTAAATAACTGTTGGCCATTATTATTATTGTTACAGATTTCCAGTGTATCACAAGAATCTGTTTCAGATGTAATATGTGATATAATGAATGTTAATCTTCATTACTGTAAAATTCTGAACTGGAATCTCTAATACACATTATGTAATTCTTTATACCATTTTTGCAACATCACTAATAACAATGATGAAACTAATAACATGGTCACATGGTAACTCCTAAATGGTTTATTATTTGCTTTCAAAAGCATAAAATACATTATTGGTTTAGTGGACATTTTCTTTAAGTAAGTAGTATTTAGGATAGAGGGTAAATACAAACAATTTGATGTAAGGTCACCAAATTTCCCCTTTGAAAATGAAGGGAAAAACTTACTACCTCTTAGGAACCTCTGGCCCTCAATAAGTAAATATACAAGCTAATATCCAGTATTTAATTTTTAAATCAAGTAGTTGAATTATTTTGTTGTATTTTCTGTAATACTCAACTTTTGTAGTTCTGAAAGATACTTTTCTAGATTTTCTTATCTCATATAACTTAAGGAAAAGGAGATTTGTGATTCTACAATCCAACTGCCAGTATAGATACAGGTGCTAACTTACAAGCTTTAAAACGTAAATGTTCAAAAGGCTATAGATCTAACTCTTGTCTTTATTACATTCTTTGCCTTTTTAAATGGCTGTTACATTACTTCAGAGTCAGATTACGGAAAGAATAAAAAGTGAAGAAAAATACCCCTCTGCAATTTCTGGAAAGTCAAGAAATTTAACTATTTCCTTCAAATTACTTTTGCGTTCCTATCATTGAACCTGGGTCCATGTATTTGCAGAGTGAGACAAGCAAACTCCTAAGAGAATGACAGATGAGGCCTGGCCTCATAGGGGCCTAGGCCAGTGCTCCAGTTTTCCCTCTCCTGATCATTCAACCCAATTCACCCCAACTTCGCAGGCCATCAGAAAATGCTTTCTTCATGATTTAACCAATCGCTCTTCTCCCATCTATTTCTGAGAGTAGAATGATTGAACTCGCTAGAATGTTCACATCCATTTACCATTCTTGGGTAATCCCTGCTCTTTTGGCATCAGTGCACAGACTAGCCACCAAAACTGCAGCTGCCAATAGCCTGGGATGTGAATGAAGACTCTTAAGTGTGAGGAGAATCTCTCCCCATCAAGCATCAATAACTTTCTTTAAAAGCCTGAAACCTGCTATTAGCTGAATGCCCGGTTTCTGAGAAACAGGGGAAATACTTCCCCGAGGCGCTTCCCTTTATCTTCCCAGAGGCTGTGGGCTGCGCCCTAGGGAACTCCGGCTGGTCACGGGTTTCTCACCACCATTTTCCCAAACCGAAAGGACCCTCATTCCCTTAAACCAGGTTGCAGTTCATCAACCAGGTGTCTGCATACACCCGGGAAAAATCCCTAACCTAAAGCCAAACAACATAATGTCGTTGGTACAGACCACTATCCGTGGCCAGTGAAGAAACATCACTACTCTCTATATCCGTTACGGCCTTAGGCTAGTTTCACCAAGAAGTTTGGGTGGAGGGTGGAGTTGTTAACTTTGTGAGGGGTGTTAAATTCCCAGGACCACCGTCAGGAAGGTGAGGAGGCTGACTAGAAAGAGCATAAAAAGTCCTGCGGTTTAGCAGGGTTCTCGACCTCGAAGCCCCTCCCTGAAGCATAAGGCCCAGTGGCGCTGCCTCCGGCCTTCTGCTGCCACTTGGTGTCCCTGGAATCGCCTGTGGGAGACACCCGTTCGTTTGTGCCTCTCCGTGTGAAAGCTGTGTGGTGGCCTGGGACAGGCCAGTAGGTCAGGTTGATTTCATACTGCCACCATCATCACGGGGACTGCGGGGTGCAAATAATAGTCTGGAGAATTCGCTTGTGGGGAGAAGGATTAAAAGCGTTCAAGTTCACACAAGAAGTTGTTAAGCACATTTCGAATATCCCTCTTCTCTTTCTGCCCAAAGCTTTAATTTAAAAAAGTTGCTGAACTCAAACCAAATGTAGAACAGGCTTTAGCCAAGGTTGAGGCAGGGAGTGACTGATACCTTTTTTTCACCTACTCGGTACCTCTCTACTTCCAGGCAAACAAGAACGAAGGAGCTCCGAGTTTCTGGGATCGCGGGAAAGAAAAGGGTGAGAGAAAAGATTAAAAGCTATAACCATACCTGCCCGGGACTCGAGTTTCCTGGTAAGCAGGCGCACCGCACCGGGGCACATTCGGAGAGCCGGGCGCACGCTTCCCTGGGCGCCCGGGAGCTCCGGTAGCGGCAGGGAATGAAGTTGCTGCGGCGGAGCTTCACACGGCCACTGTGCCAGCAGCCTCCGAGTCCCCCAAGCTGGCAGCTTGTTCCCTTTGCACCTCCGCTCCCTACTCGCCCAGCGCTGACTGGTCTGTGGGAGTCACGTGCAAGGGCAGGGGGCGGGGGTGCGCAGCAGCCGTTGCACCGAAGTTGGGCTACAGGCTGCAGGACTATTCAAAAAACTTCCCCAACTGGCAAAGTCCAGGCGCAAGGATTTCTTTAGGAAATGCAAAAGTGCTACAGTGAGGGCGTGGGCCTTCATCCATGGTTCTGAGGTCTATTCGGTTTGCAACTTTAACCAGGGTTAGCTTTATTAATGAGACACGCCCTGTCAGTCCAAGTCCAGCCTTGGCCTGGACACTGAGGAGAGGGGTGGTGCTAATCGAGGGGAAGGTGACCTCTCAGGCGCCACTCCCCTCCATTGCGTGTGGGGCACTGGGTCACCCTGTGCACCTGGCTGGTTGGAGGTGCCGGTGCTTTAACAGATGGGATCCTCCTAGCTTGGGGCTCATGGAAGGTGGAGGATTCACCTAACTCGGGGCTGAACCTCTAAAATTCGAGAACAGAAACTGAAGCGTTCCTTTTGCTTTCCCAGCAGCCCTGGAAGATCGCAAGGCGCGGAGACATCAGTCCAGCTCTACTCTATGTATTCATGCAAAACGTGCACTCCTTCCTGGTGACGTTTCTCATCTCCCGAGGCCTCCACCCTTCTCATCTTTCCTAGTTTTCTCTGCCAACCTCCGGTGGCCACAGCACCAATCCTAGGGACGTGAGAGGGGTTAGGGGAACTCAGCAGTCCTGGGGAGCTTCT